TCCATTTTTTTCATCTTCAAATAGTCAACTTTGAAATAAATTTTTGCACTGAGCTAAGAAAGATATTGTTTGAAATAGAAATATCTTATCGATGCTAAACTGTGTAAATTTTTCAGTTGTTCAAGAATTGTTTTCTTTTTTTTTTTTTGAGATTCTATTTTGATAGAAGAATTAGCATCAGAAACTGCTTCTTTAATAAACTTATTCAAACTAGAAATTTTAAAAAAAAGTAGTTTTTTTTGTTTCAAGAAAAAAGACTGAAATCTGTAAGAAAGAAAAATTTTTTTTTTTTGTCTTTGACTTCGTTGACAAATTTACTAAAACATTTGTGCTAGCAAAATTTCTGAGACATCAATTATTCAGTATTAAAACTATGCAATTAAAAATTCAGCAAAATTTTACAACAGATAAAGTAAGGAAAAAAAAAATTTGTAAAAAATACACCTGAATGTATCAGTACAGATTATACCACCAGTTTGATATGAGGCAACTGTAACAGTGGCTATCGTTTTGAAGCAATTCTAAATTTTTTTTTTTCAGTTTTTACAATATAAGCTCTAAGTTTAGCTGTTTAAATTTTCTACTGATTTTTAAAAACCATATTTTGATCATGTTTTTAATCTTTTTCTAAGAAAAAAAAAAAGAATAAAAAAAATTTTGTTTAGTATAGTATCTTAACAATTCCAATAGTCATTAATTGTAAACAAAAAGCAAATGCACAGCAATTGTTGTAAAATTTTACTTCTTTATCCAAAAACAATATTTTGTTTTGAAAAATTAAAAATTATTTAAAAACTTACATTTCTTAAAGTAACAGTTTCATTAATAACACAAACGAAAGAATTTGTCAAGGAAATAAAATTTAGTAAATGTAGAAAATCTTAATTTTTTAACATTGATTTTTTACAATATCAGCAGTAACACAGATTGTAAAAAAAAAAGTTTACTTCAATTTTTTAGCTCTTATTAACATTTTGCTTTTAGACATAATAATGCTGATAACCTTATCAAATATGTATCACACAGTGTTCACTAAAAATTGCTGCACTATTGACTTGTCAAATTTTAATAATTTACCGATTAATCATAAATGCTTTAATAAATTAAGATATAGCCTTTTTGAAACAGCATAAAAGCATAAACTGTTCACTGATATATTCACTCTAATCTTATCGACTGATCAACAATTACTGTAAAATATTAAAGATAAATTAGCAAAAAATAATGTGTACCTGATGAATAAATGCTGAGATACAAAGTAGGAAGTAGAAGTTTTTTGCTATATTTGCTGTACCAATTTATTATTTCTGTTCTGCTGTTGTTTATTGTTTACAACAAGTAGATTTCAATGGCTTTAGGAAGAACGTTTTGACAAGACTAGACGAAGGAAAGATGTACCTATTGAAACGAAACAATTTCTCTTAAGAAGTCTTCAATTTTTTGGACCTATTCTGATGGCTGTCGGTGCATTCATGCTTATTGCCGCCTGCGTTATAACGCTTGAAAATCGTGATAGTCACGCTCGAGTAAGTTTATACTAAAGTATTAGTGATCTATTAAAATAACTTTTGAATAGCACCAATGTTGCGCTAAAATTATAAGAGTATTGAAAAAGTGTGAAAATATAAAGATAACGTGCGTTTTTAAACAAAAAAAACTGTTCTTTAGTCTCTTTGCTGTCAGAGGCTCTGAGTATCTTTCAACGAGAAAATGCTTTAAAAATTTATTCAAAATATTTGTAAGAAACTTCAAAACCAGTTGTGTATTTATGTAGATTATCTCTGATAGAATGTTTAATTGTTTCTCAGAATTTGGTATGATCTTTAAAAAGTAATCCAACAATTGCGGTCTAGTATAGTTGATTGAAAAAATCAGTTTCAATAATGTTTTAAGCGATTAATGTGTCAAAAAACTTCTTATCGTTACAAAATTTGAGATTATTTATGGGGAAACGAATGATGACCGGAAAAAAAATAGGAAGAAAAGTGAAAGCGATATACGGGTTGTGGCACCAAAGAAGCTTACATTTGAAGAAGTTCGGAACTGGAGACCACGGAGATGCCGCTTGTCAAGGTTAAGGTCCACCGAAGTCAAAAGTTGGTTTTACAGTCATCTACCATCTCTTTTTCACAACTACGTTTTGTGGTTTTCTAGCCGGGGAATTCCACAAATTCAACAAAGTGACGTGTCTTCTAACTTTTAGTGTTGGAAAAGCGAAGAGTTTTATCCGTTTCTTGTTTACCGATGTTATTTCAAGCTGCCGATACAAAGTGGGTATATTCTTTTTAATTAATACTAATTTTTGTCATGCATTTTATTAGTTTAAATAAACTCTTTGTTCAACAAATTGATAAAATTAGCTAAATTTATTGACTTTTTTCTTGCGGATAACGAACTCGTCATTTTCCTATGCACTATAATTTCACCACTTTAATCCGGTTTTTACAGAAATTGCATAGAAAACAGCAAATCACAAGCGCGATTTAAAGCTGTGGTAGAAGTCCGTGGCATTAGATTTGTCTTATGTAGAATCTTTTAGGGAGTTGTACGAGGGCCTGATTAATGAATTCAAAAATCCTCTTGGTACTAGGAAAGAAGAAACAGAAACAGAAGGAGAGGAAGAGGAAGAGAAAAAAGAAAATGATGTGGAGAAACAGATGCCAACGAGGAGATTCAATGGTTCTTGTGGCAAGTATGATTTGATTTCAAATCTTTTCAAACTACAACCAATTGAGAGAGAGCCAAAACAAAGGTTGTCCTATTGCATTTGGGAAGCTTAAATTACTTATCTTCTGTGAGCTAGTTTTAGCAAAAATTTTTTAAAGAATATTTTGTACTGATGGGTTGCTAAAAGATTTTATGAGGAAACTTTAAATAAAAAAAATTGAGGAAAATAAATGAACTCTTTGAACTTCTGTATCTCAGTTTTTTATGAGAAAACAATGAAAAACGAATTTTTCCTCTACATCAACTTGTTGGATTTTGAAATATTCCTTAGCACAATTAAGCGAACGGAACTGTACAGGCAACAGTCTGCTGGTGGAAACTTAATAATAACTTTTTTTGCAAGGTCAATTTTTTTTTTGCAATTGACTTGTTGCGACAGCTGCCATTCCTGCATCCAAGAAAATTTAAGCTTAATTTTCATTCTTTTTGCCAATATTTAGCTAAAAGAGCTTTTTTTGTTACATTAAAGATAACAGAAAAATAATGAAACAAACAAAATTTTTTTGACTCTTGAAAGTTAATGACGACATGTAATAAACGATAAAAATGAGCATTATTTTTGACAAACTTTAGATAGTTCTCGTTTTGTACAACATTAAATTGTAATTCTGGTATTGTCAAAGTGGAAAGTAATAGTAACTTTGTCTTATTCAATGTTTACAGTACATACCCGTAGATAACTTTTAAGTGAGTCGATGATATTTGTGAATAGTAAAGCTATTAAATCTTTTACTTTTTTTTGAAACTTTTTTTAATTGCACTTATTTCTTAAATTATCATTCAAGACAAAGTTTGAAAGAATAAAAAAGTGGCTTACAAACATCTGTTGAGGATTTCAGTTACATATTTGGTAAATAGAGACTTTAGAAAAGTCATCTGATATGTCGATGGTCAGCAAGTCAAAACCATTTTGAGCATTTTTTGCAACTTAACAGAACAAGTAAACAGATATATTTTATCAGAATGCTTCGCAGTATTGCCTTTCAACAATGCCGTAATTATTTGTAAAGTTTGAAATATTCTGGTAACCGACTTTTTTGAACTGAAAACATTGTTAAATTATTTGTTGTCAAGAGTGCAGAGTTCAAAGACTTCAGAGAAGAGCTATTTTTAGAGATGTATCTTTTATATTTAAGCAGTATGCATGCTTTTTTATTTTACTTATATTCTTAACAGTAATATATTCACAGTAAATAATATCGTTTTCAATTAGTTAAAAAATCCATTGCAAAAAAAAAGATTTTCTAAGATTTTTTTTAACTCGCAATTAAACATTTCCTTTTGTTATTTTTAGCTTTTATCGTTATGATAGAGCATTTTAAACGGTAATTATTTCGTCTTAGTTACGTATAGTAAGCAGTATTTAGACAAAACGTTGTAGCCGAGATTCATGCCGAACCTGACGATTCAGACGATTCTATGCTCTCAGCAACTTCATCAGTTTCTGCAAAAGTACAACTTCCTTCGCAAGAAGATATATACTCTGTTATGTCAATAGCACAAATGGAACTTTATGACCTCGACGAGTCAAGTTTTAAAGATGAGTTATCGCTGGTGATAAGAAGAGATATAACGATCGACGATATGACCTTGAGTCCGATTAGCAGTTTTTCGAAAAGCAAACGACCAAAATCGGCCTGCTGTGCAAACACTTCCATAAAAATAACTGATTATGATTCGCATGATCTGTACGATCGGTTTTTTGCACGATCCCAGTTTAGAAGAAAAAACGACAATCGTGATAACTCCCTGCTGACACTTGCTGTTGATAAAGCACCTGTTTCTGCGGCAAGATAGTACTTCAAAATTTTCATAGCTTTCTTCTGCTAAACTGCAAGACGAAAAAAAAAAAGTTTTTTTTTT